CAACGAAGTACCTGAAGATGCTAACCAATGCAGGCTATCGCTCATACCAGGTATGTGCCTTCACATCATCATCACCATTCGTCTCTCTTTCTCTCTCTCTATCTCACACACACACACACATACACACACACTCACACATACCCACGAGCATTCCCACGCAGACACAGACAGAAACGTAATAGTGTATATTTCTATATTGTGGTGGTAAATTCATTCGATATTGCTCATCTTATCGATGGGAGTACCATGAAGCCTACCATGCGATCAAGCTTAGCATACCACCTTACAACGTGGGAGACGCGATTCGCATCTTAGTACTTCACTGGATCATTAATTTGGTAGGAGTTACTTCGGTGTGCACAGAGGCATGCACGCGGGTGGATGACTCAAGCTAAAGATCGAAAATGTTAACAATCCATCTTTGTCACAACGATCCTGAAGGAGACCACCTCGCCTCCCAACACGGCAAATGCCTCGTCGGAGCTTGTCAGCACAACACATCCACAACTTCCACTGCTATCCTTACTTTCCTCTTCACTTGAAGTTCCCTCTTCTTTCCCCCTCCTTCCTCTTCCCCCTCATCTCTCCCGCGTGGTTATCTTCTTCATGCACGACTCTTATCTCTCCACTGCAATCCGAACTTGCGCTTTTAGTGATTATGACTAACACTAAGCATTATTATCATTCAATAATGGTAATATAAATCATATTAATAACAACTATAATAATAATAACGGTCAACAATGACAAGACAGGTTCCGGTTCGTTAAACCATTTCAAAAGTCAAGAAACTTGGTACTGGTCATTAGGCAGTTTTGCACCAATACCACTTCGACGGATGCCAAGATGCCGAAACCAACGCTTTCGCTATCATAACACGAGCATCCGGAATCTCTCTCTTGTATGGACATTTGGCGCCTAAATTATTAGTAACCCGCCATCACGAGTCTCCGGATCGAATGCAACTGTTGACGTTCGTAACCGGTCAAACATACACTGTCAGGAAGATATTGACTTTTGTAAGACTATCGTCTAGACAAGGTACGCATTCTGACATCACCACCCTTCTTTTTCTCCCTCACATACATACACACGCACACACACACACATATATACATACACACAATGTATATTTCCATTTTGAAGCGATAGATTCATTAAATTTTGTTGATCCTATGGATGAAAGTACTCTCACTTCTTTTGTCTCTCTTTCTCACATACAAGCGCGTAGTAATACACGCCTCCATGATCTAGCGATAGATTCGTCGATTTGGCTAATCCTATCGTTGCAAGTAGTGCAAGGTTAGCCGAGGGTTTGGGGACTTTCCTTTCGGCCGGCGTGTCGCTCATCCTATCGTTGGAAAACTCTCTCTCTCTCTCTCCTCTTCCTTTGCACATGCTCACATTAGCGAACTTACGTACATACATGAATGTAGCAGTATATATCTTTCCTTTATCTATTGGTAGATTCGTTTGACACGGCCCATGTGATTGACGGATGTACGATGAGAACAGTCACGAGACCGGTATGTACTCATACATCCCCTCAGATTCTCACGCTCTCTTCACACACACTCATGCGTGCACCCGCAAAACATAGTAAGGTATATTCACTTCTTATCATTAGATTCGTCCATTTTCGTTTCCGCCCGTTAGCTTTTAGTGCTACGAAGTCCGTCGCAAGGTAGGGGACTTACCTTAGTGCGGCCGCTCGCGTCCCGGTCACCTAGGAATCCCTGAAGCCGTCTCCGACCGCTCTCAGCGTGATCTTCAAATGTTAGTAACTCTTTGCCCCGCACGTTCCCCCCCCTCCTCCTCTCTTACACTCTTCTTCCCTTTCTCCTTCTTTCCCTTGTAGTTCTCTTTCTCCTTCTCTACCTCTGTACGTCTCCCCACTCAAGATCGTGTTCTGATAGCGTCGGCTCTCGGGATGCGAGCACTTGTGCTATGGTCACGACGATTTGCCCCTCATTCTCAGCATTCAAGACCGAGTGTTGCCTTCGCTCGTTCTCGCTAGCAATCACCTGCGCACCTCTGTTGACCAACTTGCGTAATAGCACTCTCTTTTCTGCTATTACGTTCGTTTGTTCTCGCTCGAGCACTAACTCACTTGCAATCACGTTCAGACTGCTCGGTCACGCCCGTACGCCGGCTTTAGCGCTCATTGCTTTAAATTCTTTAGTCCGCGTGAAGCCCCCTTCTCTGTACACGCACCCACATGTGCCCTCTCGATCCGTTATTCCCTTCCTCGCTCGTGCCCCAAAGCCCTCAGTGACCTACTGCTACCTCCCGTGAAGTAGGTAAATTGGTTCACATGTTTGAACCTGAACGAGTTTCCACGGATAATGACCAAAAAGAATTTTATTATAAATAATAATAATAATAATAATAATAATAATAATAATAATAAAGAAAAAATAAGAAAGGAAAAATAACTCACTCCTATCCGTTTCCCTTGTCGTAGCTAAATGAACATGGCGGCACTACTGACGCTTTTACCAGGATACGGTTGTGTATTAGTATTTTGAACACCTTATTATTCATTTTTCTAATTTTATGTCAAAGTATTTTTTCCATGTTTTCGTGAAAGATTCACTCCCCCCCGATTGGTTGGGGATAGGGAAGTCGTTGTAAGTGCTATGTGGTTCGTTATTGACGGCAAAAACCTCTTTCAACCCCATCCCACGTATCTTCTGAAACGGTTTTCACCTTTTTGCAGTAGCAGATGCAGCGCCCAGGGTTCGACCCCTAGACCTCACCCTACCCGTGTACACCCCTGTACAGTATCTGTGCAGACTGCGACCTGTGTACTGCGACCTGTGTATTCGTAGACAGTTGGTAGGTCTGCCGTAGGTCCATAGGCGGCAGGGGTTCGATCAGTAGACCTATAGAGTAGAAGTCTTAGCGAGTTCCAGAAGCTTAGCTGTAGTCCTTCTAGAAGGCAGGCAAGTGGGCAAGTGGCGAGGCAAGTGGTGGACTAAACTGCAGTGCACTTGCAGTACGACTACGGTAGGATAGCAGCAAGTCCACAGTCAGTCAGCGGTAAGGTCCAGTCAGTCCCAGTTCGGTCCAGCAAGTACCACGGGGGACTGTGAGCACCATAGTCCAATGGCAAAGGGCAGACCAACGAGCTTCTGAAGTATAAATCAAGAGGCAGCGCCCAGCCTTTCATTCATTCCTGCGTGAGCCATGCGGAAGCGCTGCCACAAGCGACTTGTGCAAGGAGGTCTGCAGAGGAGCCTGGAGGTCCCAGTGGGCGAGAGAGGAGGAGTTAGCATAGCGATAGGGTAGGGGCAGCCATAGCTGCCATAGCAGTAGTCAGAGTGAAGTGTGTGTGTGTATGTGTGAGTGCTCAGGGTAACGCATGTGGGATATCCAGGGTGATCCAGTGTGTGTGAACAGTGAGTTGTTTGGGCGCTGAAAGTCGCCATAGCCAGTTGAGTGAACTCGTATCTGGAAGCCATATCTCTGAGTTTTGACTGGGCGCATGTCGCCAGTTTGCTGCGTTGCTGTTTACATGCATGAAAAGTGTGTTTGAGAACGAGTCTGGTTGCATTGGTATCGGAGCTGGTACCCACTATTCCATGCGCGCCGTAGTGTGCAGGGGCTGACGCGCCATAGCAGAGGTGGCCGCCGAAGGTAGAAGTCCGCCATAGCGGACCTCAGGTTGAAGAAGCCGCCGCGCGCCTGCAAGAAGACCACGACGACGAAGAAGAGAGAGAGAGAGAGAGAGAGAGAGAGAGAGAGAGAGAGAGAGAGAGAGAGAGAGAGAGAGAGAGAGA